AATTTTGTGCTTTATTCATAGGACCTGTTTTGTCCCTATTCTCAAGAATCACTGAACTAATAAACTATAACTAGTATCTGCTGCACAGGTGGAAGGGGTCATTTTCAATCGTTACCATTTCTTTCTATTTTAAGACATTTACTTAAACAATGGGTGTCCAGTTCCAGTTCTCAAGAGTCAATGTCCTGTTCTCTTTGGTACAAACCCACAACAAAGAGGAGAAGATTTTAAAACCTCAATGCTCTTCCACTCCACAAATTGCACTCCATTGTATTGGTTCATCATATATAAATTTGATAACATGTTTTGAAGTTTGTAGTCAAAAGGGGACAGATAATGAAGTTGTTTAAGTGGTATAAATACTAACATTTTACAGAAAAGCAGTAGGCACAGACCAATAAAGGGGGGCAGAAATGGATTTCTGGGTTGTTCCTTCCTTTAGGAATTTCAGATGTTTCATTATCAGGCAAAAATGTCACATTTTTAAGATTTTAAGAATTTTTTCTGCCTCTGAAATATGGCAACATTTTGCCGTTAAGACAAAACATCAGGCTTGAGGAAATTAAGAATTACAATACTTATTAAAGGGGGAGTATTATGTAAAGTAATGTTATTCCCTCATCAAAATCATTCTTGGAGTGTTGCTTTGATCCTTTCGTGCCTGTCTGAGAAATGCCGGAAGCCCGCGTGGCAGCCATTTTGGGGTGCATAAACGCTTGCGCCCACAAAGCAGAGCCAATTTCCACAAATCTCCTCCCTGGAGCTAAAGTTTCCAGCTGAGATTCTGTCCCACAGAGCACTGGCCCTCCACAACATCTCCCACTGAGTTTCTTCAGACTAGCAGCAGCAACAATCAGCAAACCTCGTGAAACTGTGTTTTCTGAGCCTGTCACACAAATTACTTCTCAGTCCAACGCTCCTTGAATAACATAATGAAAGAACATTGTTGCGATGACATCCTGAAGGTCAAGTGTTGGAAAGAGCAGGAGCTTCTCAAAGAGACAAACAATTTCAAGGCGTTAAATTGGGAATAGAAAGTTATTTTAAGTCATGAAATAGCACTATGGCACTTTAGAGACACTCTGACTCCTTAGCATGAATGTTTGGTGTGAAGAGGGAAATCCCTGTAAATGCGTTTTAATGTCCACTTTAAGGAAACTAAAACTGTAAGGTAAAGCACACCCACCATCAGTGGCACATTGATCCACACTGACACACTTAGAAACCCTGAAATATGGCTGAAGGTTTGATACGAGGCAGTGCCCGTCAGATTGATTGTGTAACAGGGGAGTCGGTGACGTCACTGCACCCCCTTCATTTCATCGGCTCTGCTTCTATTTCCACACTCATGCATGCGTGCTGAGAGGTGGGGGGGCTGAGCTCCAATTCCTTTATGACTCATCTTTGCTCCCGTCTGACGCAAGAGCATGACTGGGTCCATACACACTACCTTCCCACACACACACACACACACACACATGCACACACACCTCCGTCTCTTCTAGGTGCTGAGATGCAGCCGCCGTCCTGAAACTGCCCCTCTGCTGTGCTGTTGTTCTCCTCTGTATTTATTTTGTCGTTCTTTCTGTCTCTGACAGAGACCCTGTTGCGGTTTCTGCTTTGTTTTGTCTCCTGTACGATGCCTCTTCTAGGCTCCTGAGCCTCTACACTCTTCCTCCTCCAAATATGTTCCTTTATCGCTCTATTACTGCCTTTTCTCTCCTTTTTTGTATTTGTTAATCTGTTTTCTCCCCTGTCTGACATCCCACTTTTTTCCTCCCTTTTTTCCCCTCCTGCTGTTTTCTGTCCCATCTCGTTCCTCCTTTCATCTTTGTACTGCTGTCTCTATCCCTCCTCTCCTTCTCTCTTCCTCTACTACTGCCTCAGCATACTAAGCAGAAGTTCTCTGATTACTTTTCTTCCTGAGAAACGATGAATTCAACTCCAGAGCTCACCGCCGCTACCTTCACCCGCTACCCGTTGCCATGGATACAGCCTCAGCACTTGGCATTATTGAGGAAGGGGTGAAAGGAAGAGGGAGGAGGAGGAGGAGGTTGTTATGTGTTGTCACACAGAGACCGTTCTGAAGAAGCCCACTCAGAGATTTTTTTTTTTTTCCTGATGCGTTTAATTTTCTAAATGCAGAAATTAAAAATAAATAAATAACACACCCAAATGCTAGGTCACAATGCTCAACTAATTGTCTCCATTTTGACACTGCAGCTGTACTTTGTGTTCATGAATCAACGACATATTACAAAGCATAATTTATCTAGCTAATATACAGCCCCAGTATATTAGCTAGATAAATGTGCAGAGTTATTACTCTGGAACACAAAGCACACCGAGCGTTTCCTTTTTCTGGACTCTGTTCAACAAGAAGAAGAACAATACATCCATTGCATGTCATATAGATTATTATCTTTCAAAGTGTCACTGTTAATGTCATTATTTATTCCAAACAGAGATTTTTCTTGTCACTGAATGAGCACTCCTCCCTCTCCCGCCTCCTCGGAGTTATCTGTCACTGTCAGTCATGTCAGTATGTCACAGCGGATGGGGGAGACGGTTGGAAAATGGACAGCCACTATCGATCAGTCAATACAGTTTATTAGGCCTTGGCCCTTTGGGAAAGTGACAGATAGCTGTACAGCAGGAGAAAAAAAACCCCCACAGATTTACTTCTGACTCACTCATGTACGCCTGGGTTATCTTGACACTCAAAGTAAAGGCGGGGAATGACACAAATATGGCAACGTTGGCAGATAAATGTGCGCTAACGCTGCTCTGTTTGTGTGCAGGCACATTTGTTTTTGCCTCTGCTGTTTCTAGATATACACTCATTACAATAAAACTAATGGATGCCCTTTGTGGGTGTTACACCCCGATGATCTTCCTCTGTAGCATAAAAATGTTCTTTGTCCAACTGTGTGTGCATGACAACATTTCTATTTCCTTTTTTTCTTAGAATGTCTTCACATGTATTAGAAAACTTGGTTACAAGCAAGAGATTTTCTTTCTCTGAAGCCCGCTTGGCTATGTGTTCTGAAGCTTGTGGTCAAGAGTGAAGATGGTAATTGTTTTATATGTTATTCTTTCTCATAGTTGAGAAAAAATAACATCATTACAGCTATACATCACTATACAAGTAGGTAATTGAAAAGTAACATATCTGTTTAAAATTATAAGGTAAAATGTATCTATATTGTAGCAAAGTGGCAGACAAAACGCTTACAGTAACAAAAGTTGACTCTTTAGTTCATGCCCATGCTCAGGTGAGGGGTGGCGGCGAAGTGTGGGACTGAGGCGGAGCAGGGGGGATGCAGAAGGAGACCCATGCAGCAGTAAACAGGGGAGGGGTCGGTTGAAAAAAGGGCCAGAAAAGATATCGACACATACACCTACCCTGTAGTAGTCCGTGCTGTAAACATCTCTGGACATGCCGAAGTCTCCAATCTTTACCAGCAGGTTCTCACCCACCAGACAGTTCCTGCAAAAAGGAATAACCAGATAATAAATACAAACACTGATATGTTACAGAGGTGGGCTTGGCCATCAGAGGCTGAAGGAAGTCTTGTGTGTTTTGATGTTTTCCTGAATCAAACAGTTTAATTATCTCTCTTTACTGTCACCAAGTTTTACAGGAGTCTGCTGATGACTTATTCATTTGTTTTCAAGTGTTTTCAAGCAGGGGAAGATACAAAACATGCAGGACTTCAGCTCCTGAGGGTGGAATAAATTTACTCCACCGGTTAAACTGTGAACAGGCTTCAAACAGGCTGTTCACACCATTCGGTGTCGCTAAAGTCAATTATCCTGCACAGATGAGGGAATCAAAATTCCTCCACAGAGATGAAAAACTGATGTAAGTTTGATGGCAAATTCTTGCTGCGTAGGGTAGAACAACCAGTTATTAGCTCTTAGGGGCAATTACCTTTTCACCGCGGCACAGACTGATTTGGTTAACTTTTTTCAAAATAAAATCAAAATGTATTTGTCATTTTGTATCTACTTGGGTTCTTTTTTCATCTGATATTGAAATTTATTACATGTTCTACAAAAAAAAGTGGAAGTAGAACAAATCCAAAATAGGTGAAATGCTTTTCAGGGCTCAGTATTCGAAGGGTTCATTCAGTTATTTCCTATTGTGATGATGAATGAATCTATCAGACAGACACCACATTACACAGATCTTATGTACTGCACACTGTGTCCTGTAATTTCTCTGGTGGCTGCTCTTTTCTAAAATATTTCAGCTTTTATTGGAAAATTGTAGTGATTGTTTAAGTCGTGAAGACGAGTATTTCGATGAGATCTTTTTGGACGCTTATGAATGTTTTCTTGTCTTTTCCAACTAAATTTAGGAAAATAACACAATAAAGTAATTCATTTATGAGTGTTTACATTTAATTTCACAGATTTTTTTTTTAATATTGCCTGTTGATAAAAAAAAAAAAAGAAGAAAACAAGTCAATCAAGCAGATAATAACGTAGTAAGTGACGCACCTGGTGGCCAAGTCGCGGTGCACAAAGTGCTGCGAAGCCAGGTAGACCATGCCAGATGCTATCTGTTGGGCAATATGGAGCATCTGAGACTGGGTCAGCTCCACGGGTCTGGTGGTCTGGCCTTCTGCCATCAGAACCGCATCTGGTCCGTGAGCCCTACAAGAGAACAGGTGACAAACGTTCAGATGTGCTTTGTACTTGAAGCCTCAAACAAAAGACGCAGAGCAATACTCAGCTTCTCTCGAGGAGAGTTTTTAAATGACAAACTGCTGCTGAACATTGTTTCCAATTGTCTGATTATGTGTGTCCACATTGGCAACACTCCGTGCAATCAGGAAGCGAGACGTGCCTGAGGAACTTGTTCAGGTCTCCGTGCTTCATGTACTCAAACACCATGATGAGAGGGTCGCTCTCCACACAAACGCCGTAGAACGTGACGATGTGCTCATGCTGCAGGTTGGTCAGCAGCTCGGCCTCTCGATGGAAATCCTTCCTGGCGTTTTCACTGGCCTCTTTCAGCGTCTGCAAACACATACACATATGCACACATAAGTGGCATTTTTAGCCGAGCAACAAATAAAGAAACTCTGCGCTTTTTGCTTTCTACGCTGCTGATGATTAGCAATTTTTCATTCTGGGCTTTCAACATATTATGTTGGTTCTTTTTTCTCAGTGGAAGCAAACAGAGTGAGCTCCCAAACAAACTGCGTTCCAGCTCAAAATACAAAGAGTTAAATTAATATTACATAGTCAAAGACAAGGTGGGGAGGTAAAAACAGCCTTTTTCTAAACTAATCTTAATCTCTTCAGTGAATCAGGAAATCTTTGAGGGAGGTTGAGTAACACAAGCATCTGTGACGGAGAAAGAAGAAATGAGAGAATGTCAGTGTGTGAATAGGGCATGAAGAGTTGCAGGAAATGAAAGTGATACAGGCTCTGTATTAGTTTCCCATGCAAAAAAAAAAAAAAAGATATAGAAAAATTCTCTTGTCCTACATGAATAATAGATTGTCTTCCTACATCATATGACATGGATATACGTGAGTCGGTGTCTCTCTGTGTACCAAAACACAGAAAGAAACTCAGATTACACACACAGAACAAGAGGTCATGAAGTGAATGACCCATAACCCTTGGCTCAGAAAGCACAGATGGTAGAAAACCTGACTGCATGCAACTTCTGCAGCCAGCATTAAAGCAAAAGTGCATCGGGAAATGTTTTTCTGGTCATGTACATACCAGTCTGTAATAGGATACAGCATGAAGATTACATACACGACTATAAGAAGATAAGAAGATATGTGAAAAACCATCGTAAAGTCAAGTAAAATTAAGAAGTGGAAGGGAAAAAGATGCCTGTTTTTTGTCATGAATATGTATTGTGCTGCTTCGAAGCCATACTTTTAATGCAATATACATTATCTCTACCTCATTTGCATGTTAGCAGACTGAATTTTTGTAAGTTGTTTGCTCTCATTCAGAAAATCACCTCTGCCTCAGATTTTAAAATGAATTTATCTCTGGGTTGCATGAATATGCTATGTTCATTGTACCTCTGCATGCACGTTTAGGTGTCATCTCAAGTCCTTTGCAGGCTCTAAAGTTCAGCATGCACTGCATGATGTTTTTAGTCTATTCAGCTCCAGCTCAAACTGTACAAACAACATCACGGGATTTAATAATTCACAGCTCACAAATCATGTTCTCACACCATACAACTCGATCCTTGGATGCAACCTGACTGCTCACAATGTATGCGCATTTATGGCACATTGAAGCCTTGAATCCAGAACTATGAGGAAGAAGAAAAGCGTGGAAGTGAGGAGCCACTTTCCTTAGAAGAAGAGACGGTTCAACAAAAAACAAAAAGTTCGTCCTTGCCAAATCTTGCCTTTCTGCGTCGAAAAACCGCAACCTAATTCCACTGCACTTGTCTGTAAACTTTTACTGCAACTGTTTTATGCTAATGTTAGAAAGATGAGGAAACCTTAAATTAAATATGCAAACAGACATGCTTGGGGGGAAAATATTTTATGTGGCTTTGTAGAGATCTGAAGTTCATAAACTCAAATTCTTTTGTCCTGACTTGTGTACTTTTAAGCAAGCGGCATTCAATTATAATATTAATATATCGCATTGCTGGTTGTACATAATTCTAGCAAGCCATTTCAATGACTTTTGAGAGTTTCAGGTAAATTGGTGGTGCTGCTTCAGCAGTGCCACACCCTTACCAGAGGGTTTAATTTTTGTGTGACTGTATTTCTGATTTGGAGCTGGACGCGAAGTGTTACAACCTGTTTACTACACGATGTCCAGCACACAATTAGAATGAAACTCGGCCAGATCTCAAAATTGTTGCACAACTAAGAAATCAGGTGAAAATGGATCAACGCTCGCACACTGTTACCTGGCCGCTTCCTTCCTACGCGATTCCGCTCCATTCCCATTTCTCTTTGCTGCTACAGCTGGGGTTTTCCCTGTTGATCTGGATTTCTCAAGTATAATTTCAGCCAGCCAATCAGTGAACAGTAGAAGTTGTAAACGATGACGTCGATTTTCTGCGTCGTTTTAGAATTGTAGTCTGCATAGACATAATATAAGCATATATCATGTCTATGGTAGTCTGCCCGTAGTTTGGCGGCAGCAGAGGAAGTGAATGAAGCCACTCAGTCCGTTTTGGCCACGCTTCCGTATGTTGAATTAAGATTAACAGCCACTTTGTTTGGATTTCTCTCTTTGTGGTAGAGGACTGCTGTTTACAGTGCAGACAATTTTTGGTAAGCATCATAGTGTCGTTACATACACCACGGGCAAATGTTAGCGATTGGATAAAATTTTAAACCTCGACATAGTGCACGCCTACAGGAAGCAATTGTTTCTCAACAGTGGAGGAGTTAGATCCTCTGTACGAAGTAAAGTGTAGTATGATGGGCTGGTTTTTACGAGGCCTCGGTGTATGCTCAAGTTGAAGGTTTTTCTCTAGAAATTATCTGCATTTAGCTCCATCCATCTGTCCTAAAATCTCTGGCCAGCTTCCCTGTCGCTCAAGAAGAAAACTGTCCTCACAACACAAAGATGCCAACACAAAGTTCATGGTAGGGATGGTGCGTTCAGGGTGATGTACATGTATAGATTTCAATCAGACGTAGCATTTTGTAAGTTTGATCTCAATTGTTGAGAGTAGCTTCTTTCCTACATGTGCTCTGTTTGTTTACTAGTTTCATTATTCAATTAATTGTTTCCTTTTAGTTTCACAATCATGTGCTGCAGTGTGTTGGTCTATTACATAAACTCCACTTAAAATCTAAGTCTGTTATTGTGACAACAAAACGGGCAAGAGTTCAAGATGAATGGATATTTTTTGTTAAGCACAAAAATAAAATAAATGAAAATAAATAAATAAAAATAAAATCACTTAGCAAAAATATTTTTTGCTAAGTGATTTGGCTTCCTGCTTAATTCCAGGATGTTGAAACCGACAATTTCTCTCCAATTTTCAGCTTTGTAGTTTACACAGAATACTTTTTATGAGTATGGATTTACAGCTAGTCAAATAAGGAACACATTTAGTCTCAACAAAGATCCTGTTTACTGCTTGTCTGTGCTCAATCATTGAAGTGCATCGAATAACCTCTATAAAATAATCATGAATCACTGCACGGAGCTGGCCATAATAAAGCTGGATCCAGGGCCGCTTGCTGCCGCCGAGACTTCCCTGTGAGGCAGAAACGTCTACAAGCGGCCTATCACGCTCTCACTCACTGAACTCAAAGTTGATTTAATTCCCAGGCCAAAAAAGCCACAATATTACGCTGTTAGTCATCCAGTCTGAGCACATTCAGGTTCTTGGACAGATAAAAAAGCAATCAACAACCTCTAACTCAGAACTGTGGTGACTCATTTACATGTGAGAAAGAAACATTAATGGACGTGTTTGGTGTTTCTGATAGATGGGATACAGTCAAGTAAGTGTGCTGCATTCGTATGGATGTGAATGTTTTACTGAGCATCGGTACTTCCTGCAGCATGATTTTGATTGATGACTCCTCGGTGTTTAATATACAGTAAGAGCAAAATAAAGTAGCTTCCATGTAATGCCTGACTGGGTGATTGATAAATGACTCCCAAACTGACACCATTAAACTTTCTTAGCGAGTGCATGTTTTAATATGGTAAACAATCAAGGACATGTTCTCGTGCTGCAGCGCAGACAGAGTGCACTGTACGGACAAAATAATTATGTGTAATTATATATTTAAATGGCGAGGCAGTGGCAGATTGTCAGCTTATAAACCGGTGCTCAGACAGCTCGTCTGCCATGGTGTTTGAATTTATGAAAGGCGGAATGAAAAAAAATAAAACGAGTGAAAGGTGATTTGTAGATAGAGACAGCAGGAGAGAAGAGCATTTATTATTTATAGGACAAGCATAATATTAAACCAAAGTTGTAAACCATCCCATCTTACTTTAAACTTTGCTTTTCCCTCAGCAGTTCTCTAGGCATTCTCTCAATATTTTAATATTTTATTCCAACTTTTAGCTTCTTTTTCTGCTATTTTGTTTGGCAGATTCTTTGCACATAAAATTTTGAATCATGGCAAGGATTTAAGAAGCAACAACATAACACTTGACGCAGGATCTGAAAGATTGATTGTTCTTCAAGATATTGTACACCATTGATCTACTTGCTAAAATACGTCAACCAGATTGCTTTTTACTTATCAAAGACTCAACCAAAGCAGTGGAACAAGTGTTGTTGCTGTGTTTACAGTCAAAAAAACCAGATTAATTTCCAAAATATCTAACATAGTTTTTGTAGTTTCTTAAACCTTCTGATGAGTTGTGTTGCTTGCTTATTTCACTTTTCGCTTGCCTCTTAGATAAATATTTTGTAATTTTGTAGACGTGAACTGAGTTAGATTTGCAATCTCAAATAAAAAACTGCATCAAGTTGCTGAAAGAAACAGACAGCAGCCTGAATTGCAAATCATTAAGTGATGTTTGGAGGTTTTGCTTTACCATAACATCACACAGGACTTCATAAGAAATTTAGTAAAGTGTGTGTCAGATACTCACACAATATTGTTAAACTTTTAAAAAAATCTGTTTCTGGTGCCGAGAGTCCTGCTTCTCTCCCAAAACAATTAAAAAGATTGACATTTTGATTGTAATGGCGCTGCAGCAGAACAAAAAGCAGACTGACCACCTTCAAGTCGTGTTTCTGGGACTTGTGAGGATTAAACAAAAGCCACATCAACTACCAGAAAAAAAAAAATTATTCTTTAATTTAATTAGGAAAACTGGGCAAGAGTTTTCTTTTGTTTTTATTCAAAAAGTCTGATTTTAATTGACACTCCTTTTTTTTTAATATAGAGCAATCAGACCTTAATGGCGATCAAATGATTCTTAGCTCAAAAATCTGTACTTTCCTTTACTAGTGAATGCAAAACAAAGTTGTTAAAAGTGGGAGTCAGACTCAGTGGACTATTTCCAAAACGATTAAAAGTGTTTTAAATGAAGTTAGTGGAGGAACAAAAACAAAAGGAAGTTGTAATTTTGCTGTTTGGAGGTCTGGGAGTGCTGTTTAAGTTCACGCAGCGCATCAATAAGCTCCGGCCTTGGGGACGTTGTCGAATGGGCATAGAAGTGCATTCCTCTGAAGCCCACTTAATGCCCACCAATCTCTAAAAGCCGTGACCTTTCCGCTCAGAATGCATTAAAAGGCAGGCAGCAGGAAATGTAACTAGGAGAAGCAAGTCACGTCTTCTACACCAGTAAAAATGAACAAGAAGTAAAATAAAATATTGTAACTTAACTTTTCACCTACGTCGTGTTTACAATCACATGACGATATTAGCATCAATGTCTCATCTAGATTTTTATCTATAGGCAAGAAATTAATTCAATTGCATCCGAACAAAAAGCAACCCTAATTTCAGTAATGTAATAAAATATATCAACAATGCTTTTCTAGCGGAGCAAAAGTTCAGACATCCGACACAATTACAGGCACTGTTGCACTTTTTGGTTAAACGGACTTTACTGGCACCTTCTAGTCTCGTTCTGAGGAAAGTTCGCTCCACCTCTCACTTCACTTGTAAGCAGTTTGAGGAATTTCTTTTATTTCCAGTCACCCCATTTCATCAAAACAACATCGAGATGAGGTCTTTGACTCACCACAGGACTCCTTTGTTTTAATGCTCAACCGGTTCTTGGTGAATTTAATGCTGCAGTATATTTTGGGTCATTGTCATGTGGCAGGCTCCAGTTCTGCTTCTGCTTTATTTTTATTTTATAGATGTGCCCAATGTCCTTCATCTACACTGTCAAAATCCTGCAGCAAAGCTTTTCCAGACCATGCCACTTCCAGCTCTATGCTTCACAGCTGGTTTGAGTTTATCTTGGTATTCTCTGTTCTGATCTAGACTAATCTGTCAAAAGAACATTATTCCAAAACTCTTGGTCTACACGCTCTCTTGTCTTGTTTTTTAAACAGCAAATGTTTCCTCTGTGCCCAATTCATGCATAGGAGTTTCGCATGATCAGGAGCAAGATCCCCTGCAGGTCCTATGACTACTGTCTTTAATTTATTGGAGACTTCATTCAACTTCTTTCGGTCTGCTCACAGGGTGAAATTGTTTGGACAACCACACCTGGGCATGTAAGGCAGTTTTTGAAAATACTCTCCACTTCTTTTGTATAGAAAAATGGCCAATTTTAAATAATTTTGATCCTTTTTACACACCCACTCACTGCCATAGTTTCACTTCCAAATGCCTCAGAAAGGTAGGGTTTTTCTGTCAGAAAGCAAACTAAATATTTGAGGCTTGAAGTTGACAGACCTTCATCAAAAGGAAGCGTAAGGTTGCTCCAATAATGTGAACTTGATATGATACATATGTAGGAGGTTTTAGCAATTTTAATCAGGTGAAAAATGAGGGAATCCTAATTAATTCCTCTCCAGAAATTGCCTGATTAATGTACTGTATTTTATTTCAAAAAGTATTATTTTTTACTTTATTTCCTATAAACATTTCTTTTAATCTTCAGGATTATTAAATTTCACATAAACACCCATGCGTACAAATAAACGTAGCTTTTCCAAGCCGTCAGTGGGAACTCCGGTTCTAGAGATTTTTCAGGTGAAAATTTGGTAGAGCAAGCTGACTAAGCTGAAGCTAAGCTGGCAGGCAGCATCAGCAGGTGGTTTCAGGGATAAGCTGGAAGAAAACAGGAAGTCCAAGAAAAGAAAAGAAAAGATCCGTGGGTTTTCGTGAGGAGGATCTGAGCCAGAATGATGAGTCAGAAGAGGGAGAGAGAAAAAAAAAAGATACTGCAGGTGCAAGCAGGAGGCGCAGAGGAGAGGAAGCTAGTGGATGGGGGGAGGAAGGAAGAGGGTGGAAGGGTGGTCCTGTCACAGGTCATGTATAGTTAATGCAAAATTCTTCACCATTCAGATCCTGTTTCACTGCGGACCTGCACAGAGAGGAAGAACCGCCTTGATGGGGAGGCTGATGGGCAGATACATGTTACAGAAGGATGCTTCCTGGGATGCCACTCAATTTCATCCTGGAAGTCAGCGGTTTTAGCTGTAATCCCACCTTACCTCTTACAGAGAAACCCTTGATAGGGACGACTTTGTCATGATAGCAGCGGAAATGGAGGTGAACATAGATTCTAAAAACGACACCAGTGCCATATGAAGGATTATATCTTGGAAGGATGTGTATCTTTTTCAGTAACATGAGATTATCTTCTGTAAGTTGCTCAATATTTTGAATATAATGCGAGTATCAGATATCACTTCTTAATATTGACCTGGCAGTAATTTCACCTTCAACTACACTCTCACTAAGTAATTTAAAACCAAAAACATTTTTCAGACCAAATTTCTTTTAAAAACTCATCATGACTTGAATTTTCTTTTCCCCTGACCAGTTTTTTTTTTCTTTTTTTTTTTAATCAGGACACATTTTGAATGGTCACAAAAACAAAATCTCACAATGAGTATTCAGAGATGCAATATCTGCTTTCTGACAGACGATTACATATGTCAAGAAAATCAGAGAGCAGAATAAGAAACACTGATAAAGGAGATAAAGATTTAACCCAGAACAGGATCATTCCTGTGCTATTTCCTAACTCCCTATACAGAAGCAGAACTATTTGCTCATGTTTCTGCTTAAAAGGCATGGCGTGGAACTGTAAAACGCATGTAAGGAAGTAATTTCATGATTACCTTGACAGCAACGAGTATCTTCTCCTGGTCAGGTGAAAGGTTGTAGCACTCGGCCAGGAAAACTTTTCCAAAAGCTCCTTCTCCCAGTTCTCTCTTCAGCACGATGTTGTGTCGCTTAATGTGCTGGACAACTGGACAATATGAGACAGACAGGAGACAGGATGTAAAAAAAAAAACATGAACATAAGGCAAAATTTGCTTATTGCTGAGGCATCCAGGTTTTTTAAAATCAGATTTTGTGATGTTTATGACTGAGAAGGAAAAATATTCAACAGTTTTACGTATTGAGAAATGTCAAAACCAGAAGTTTGCATATGAGCAACAAGTCCGTTTATTGTTTTGTTTATTGTTGCACAGTCGTGTTGAAGCCTACGCTGTTTCCACAAGGTAGGGAGGTAGAATTTATCCAAAACGTCCTAATATGTTGGAGCAATGAGAGTTGCTTCCACTGGAACTAATGGACCGAGCCTGACTGCTGAAAAACAGCCTCACACCATCAACTTTACTCTTGAAACGATGCATTCAGGCAAGTGCTGTTCTCCTATCAACCACCAAACCCATACTTATTAGTTAGATCGCCGGACAGAGAGGTATGACTCATTATTTGACTGCCCTGGAGTCCAGTGGAGACATCCTTAGCAAAACAGCGTCTAATGCTTTGCACTGGACTTGGGGATTTAGGCAATGAATATTAATACAGGTACATCATCCTTAAGTTGATTGTTTATGTTTTGCCTCGTTTTTAGCAAAGAGCACTTTAAAAACTATATTGTAGGATGATTTAATCTTTGGTATTTTAGACTAAAAATAGGAAAGTATAAGTTGTTGCAGTTGCAGGGCAATGTCGCCCCATTTCTCTTGTTTTTGTTCTATGCCACACAAAGAGAAAAGATAAGAAATCCCTAGAGAGCAAAATTTGACCTCGTCTTTTTTTATACTGCATTTTCTCTATGCATTAACAGTAACGATAAGGCCCGATGACTGTTGTATAAGGTGCTGCCATTATCCTGTAATTAGTATGAAAACAAAGTAAGAACAGCTGGTAGCTGTAGGTGAGCTTTCAGTGTTGTTTCTCTGTCGCTAAATTCATATAAAAAAAACTTCAGTCAAACATTTTTTGATGTCTTGTTGTTTCCTCCATGTTCCCCACAGTGCTTAAAACCTACAAATTATTCCTAATTGGTCATTTTCTCACAATTTTCTTCTTTTTTTTTTCAGCAAAAATACATGATTTGAAAATCCTTCTTGCACCACATGTGGTTTCTGTCGCAATAAATAAACAAAAAAAAAAAAAGCAATGGTTTCCAATCCTTGCAAATTGCTTTTGCTACTTGCAGCTTGGGTTCCAACCTGCACGTTTCTAAGAGAAATAGTAAAATTTTGAAAAGTAATCAGTAGTTTTGGTATTTATCTGTTCAGATGTACCATAATACACTGCGCCTCTGTTTTGCTTAATGCATGTAATCTCCTCCTGCTGCCAGCTCACCCACAGTTGGCTCAGAGGGAGCAACACTGTTTTCTGTTGCTAAGGAATTTGTGACTCTATGCCAGCTGATTTCAAGAAAATTTGGCTTTTCACCGTAATTATGACTCAATGTCTTATGATACAGGATGATTAACACTGTGTTATCCGTACTTATACTTCATTAACCCTTGGCTTTTACGGCCCAGATGTTGACACATAAGAAAACCTGAGGCACACGAGCTTGGGAATACCCTGAAACACACACACATCAGCCCATGAAGGAGGATAAAGGAGATTTATGCATGATGAGATTGGGAGGCATATTTAAAGAAAAGCTGTCCACTCAGAATATCACATTAAAGCCCAGCCAGTTTCTGAGAATCAGTCGCATTGATCCGCACTGTAAACTGGTGATGTTAACCACAACAGTGTCATACAGACAGAAACAGAACAAAAGTGTTATTATATATTTAATACTCTAGAATATCTAACATCGGTTTCAGACTACACAGTACTCCTTTCTTGTGATATTTTCACCAGAAGCATCAGGCTGTTATCAAAACCGTTACTATGGACGTGATTTGACCCAGATACACACCAGCCTCGTCTCCTCACTGACCTGTTTGATGTCAAAATGAACACGTTTAAAAAGTGGACTTCATGAAAGGAGGACATTGTTTAAGACTGATTGCATATGTCCAGCACCTTGCCTGCTCTGTCACTTTCCTGCCATGTAGCAATTTAACAATGCCTCAGGCGGTGAGTTCAAGGTATAAAAAAATCGCTTTGATAAAAAGTTGATGTCATATTTTTAAGCCCATGACCTGATTATGATTTATAGAAGATACTATTTTCTGCTGTATATTATTTCTTCTAAAAGTGAAATGAAATAATAAATCTTGTTTGTGTTATTTATTTGCGTTCCTTTAAAACATTTGACAAAGCATCTCTGCTTAACCTGGTTTGCATCTGTGTTTGCAACAAAACAGAAAATCAAAACGGGAGGGAGTTTTTTTTCTCCCCAACTGGATGAAATATCTGTTTAATTTCTGAGCCAAATCAAACGCAACACTAAGCTGAGCTTTCACTTATACTTTGGTCATAGTGAGACTTTCCACTGAAATGAAAAAATGTGTTGTTAATTACAGAGGCTGCAAATGCAGTAGCAACTGCAGAAATGTGCTAAAGAAATAAACTCGACCTGATTTGACTTGGTTTAACTCCCGCTACCTATGTTTTTTGTTTTTTTTATTGAGTTCTTATAAATGGTGGTGGCTGGGGGAAGGAAGGGATCTGCTGTAGCTGTCTGTGTTGCAGCTAAGTTTAAAAAACCTCTGACTAAAAACTATCCTTTGTTAAATTAAAGATTTGTGAAGGTAAATTATGAGGAGTCCACTGCAATTCTCTATGTAGATATTGCTGTTTGGAAAATGTGACTTAAAAATATTTACCTTACTTTGAAATGTTTGGTTTTTTTTAATAATCACCAAATGCTCCATGTCTTTGCTGAAAACATCTGCTGAAAAACAATCAGCATGCTCCTTTGTGATAAGTTACAAATAATAGACAAAGCCAGAGAATTGTGTGGTTTAAAACAGCAACAGAAAAATGCAGTTTGTTGTGGCCATCTATGTAAAGTTTGCAAATTGTAATTTCTACTAATTTAGTTTTCTATTTTGGGAAGTTAGAATTTATTTAAGTTATTGTAGATCCAAAATCTGTAGTTAATTTGTATATTTGAATTGATTAGATTATGTTGGTAATTGGTTAGACCCTCCCATTATTTTGAGCAATTAAAAACACACCGGGTGCTTGGGGGAGGCATTGTTTGGCAAATGTTTGTTTTGTGGATGGGGGGTTTTTTGTAAATGATTTTTTGACCACTTTCCACTTTCCATCATATTAAGTTAAATTTTGATTTTGGCTAGGTTGTAGGACATTTTTGGTAATTATTTTGTCGCTAATTTTTTTTTACAAGAAATAAAGAATTTATTTTTTTCAAACAAATTAAGTCGGAAGTGCGTTCAAATCAAAAACCACCTGTTAACACCCACGGCCTTTGTTGGAATATTGTTTTTTGGAAACTAGAAGGCCGTGACACATTTATTATCACGTAATGTGCACAAAGGTTGATGCAATGTTGTGCTTTTTCAGTTTTGGTTGTAAAGTAGGCCTAAGTAGCCTCAGAACTGTAGGAAAAGTTTTGGTAACACTTTATTTGAAGGGGCGTGCATACAGTTCACATAATTAGTTACAATTCTCCATGCAACAGCAGAATACAACGAACCCATGTTCCCTAAAAGACAGCTACCCGCTATTTAACCATCTAATTACCTCTCCACACCATTTCCTACTGTGGCTGTAAGTATTTGTCCATGAAAGTGCCTTGCGCCACTTCTCCTTAATTAACATCTTCAAATAGCAAATAAATTGATGTGTGCAGACCAATGCTTCCTCCATCTCCTTTATTTTCCTTTGGCGTGAAGCCCTGTTGGCTCTCTTTTACAGTGGATTCTCTTTTTATTGCACAAGTAATGTGTCAGTGTAATTATTATCCATTCATAAAAGAAGAATGTATAAGTAAATGTAATTTCCGTACCTGGCAATTTAAGGTTTTTGTTTTACTGTTATGACAGCAATGACAGCTGCTTGTTAAACCTCTGCTCTGGAACGTATATGATGTGCAGTCGACCACATTTAATACGTTTCACGTACATGATATCTGGTATTAAAAATGAGTTATTTATTGTATTTACCTTCATTTAATCTTCCTCAATCTGTTCTTAAATTTACTCCTGTTTGCTTAGCAGTTCTCATCGGCATTCAAACTCTGTTTTAAAAGCAAAGGGAATGAGCTACTTTCTCTAACATCTTTGGCAGTTCATTTACATGGACAGCTCTAAATGTCTTCATAAACTCCTAAGAGATCCAATTTGATCAGCATCTTCTAAGCACCTAAAACATTAATTGTAGCCTGTTCGCCGTCTGTCCTTTTCTTTACTCCTGATTGTCTCATCTGTCCAAAATACTTTTTTATGGTGACATAAAACAACTTCAGCAGCTTGGAAATAGTGTGTCTCTTTGCTGGAACCAGGCAGTCCAACAGGTCAGATGAAACGGTGTTTGACAGATGGTTAGCGAGAAGAAATCCAGCTATGCCAAACTCTTCCCCGATACAATCTGAGCTGATCTCGTGTCTCTGGTTTTCCTCTGCATTTTTTCTATAAGTGAGCCACCACATGCCCTCTTACTACGAGGCGTAACTAATTGTGACCTACATTTTTTGACGTGCGAGTGCACGAGGAAGTGTGCTTGTCAATGGGTGTTTATGAACACTGTGCTCTTCTGTTGACATATGAATAACATTTTCCAGAAGGACGGTAAACCGTGGTTGAAACAAAATATGAACCCTGAGATTTGACTGGATAATAATGATGGAACAACTGAGTGATTTAATACGTGATGTAGAGAGAGGAGTGTTGCTCTCTCAATCCAGAGCTAACAGTCAGGACTTTGTCTGAGCCTGTTTGTGAAGTCTGACTTTTACTACAAAAAACTTTAGATATTCTAGGTATTTCAAGTTACATTTTTCATTCATATAGTTTAGCTTTTTGCTCCTAATGTCCTAAAATCCCCTGATGGGGTTAGTGCTGCTCTGCACCTCATTACTTTTCCATAAGGGAATTTTATTCCCAAATTATACTTTGCAGCTTTTCTAATTTATATTGAACTTTACTGACCACAAATAACAGACCCACTGTCTTAAGTTTACATAAAAACCTAATGTAAATCACAGTAATGTGAAAAATATTGTACTTTGCATGAACCTGTTTTACGGCTAGCTACTACACCAAACATATTGACTGCTGAGCTTATCTCCACATCACCCCACTTTCAAAAGCCTATAGCTTTTAAAAAAAACCCTGTTGCTTAAAATTAATAATAGTATTTATGCTGAAACCGTACATAAAGTTTGAAAGATAGAAAAATCATCTGCTTCGTCATGAACATGTCGATAAAACGAGCAGCTTCTTAGCATGGCTTGCGGCGCATAAATGAGGAAACAATTATTTTTCGGAAAGCTAGTGTACATGGCCAAGAAGAGTCACCTGCGTCTTGTTAAAACCAGTAATTCAGTTTTCCCAATTTTATTTTGTATAATTTGGTTTTTATTGATTCATTGGCAGTTTTATAATCTGGGCTGAGCCAAGATTTTTACGCTTGTATAAGTTTCTAGTTTAATTGCTGCGTCAGCAAACTGACTGTACTACACTAACCATCAGTGTTGCGCTCTCTTTCAAAAATACACATTTTATAAAAGGAATATAGAAACATCACCTTAAATAGTTTAAACCATGAGGGTTACTTAGAATTAGTTTTCTTTTACTAAACTTTTTAACATTTTACAGTAAAACCGACGTCCGTAAACATAAGACTATGTTGCTTATTAGTGACTCAAATTGCTTACATCTCATTATGTTTTTTAGTCGTTGTTACTAATGACGATTAATGATAATGTCTGTTGTAGTAGTTCTTTCAAAAAATAAATTAAGGCTTAAAGACCTCTTGAAGGTGAAAGCTTCCTGAACGTAAAATTAATTTCCTCCACGAAAAAAATGTCATATTGACGTAATTCTGACAAGGTTAATAAACACTGGCAAGTTCAAATGACACAAATCTGACCATCAGTAAATAACTCTGTTTTCACACCAAGCTGCAACCAAAAATACTTTCAGCCTTTATTCATGCCATAGTGTCTCTGAACTGCACAGTAAATTAACTATAAACTGAGTGTATGCAGAGATTAAACTGGTCAATCATTACCACAGCAAATTGTGCTTCCACAAACCTGCACGTTTTGCAGTAACCGCTTCCTAATGCATCTATTATGGTTTCCAACAATCATGCCTCCTCTGATGTTATTATTGTTAATGAGGTGTTCACTTCTGAAGAAAAGCTGCACAACTGAAGCCGTGCAACACATCTAACGTTTCCCGTGATTAAGCATGGATCCATCATCTCTGCACAGTAATTGTTGCTTCTCTGCTGCCAGGAATAGATCTCTGCAATCATTTAAGTAGCAACGCATACCCACTACTGAAGAGACAAGCTGGTTAAAGCCATGATTAAAGAGCAACCAAGAGCCACTTTGCCAAAATGTCTCCATCAAAGCCAATTGTACCTGTCTCTAAAGGCCCCATTGCCAAATAATCGCTCAGATACAGGCTGTATTTAAAGCATATTGCTTGAATGTGACTCAAAAGAGGCACATAGAGCAATGATTGTAATGACTGTGATATTTCTTTTTAAAAAAAATACAAAGAAAAGGACCTACGCAGACACCACAGTATGCTATTGATTGGCATCGATCCAGAGAGCCTTCATTCTTGTCTTTCAGCTGTAAATCCTAGTATGCTGTTCAGTTATATAGCGGGACCAAAGAGGTCAACCCGGAGTCTCTCATTAGTATACCCTCTAACATACCTATCCTCCAAAAAAAGCACACACACACACACACGAACATGCAGACAAATGCAAATCTATTATTTATTACTACACAAGGCCAAAGCCTGAAGAGGCTTTTATTACTCGCCAATAATCATAATGTCATATTGATGGAGCAGGTCAATATCCCTGCGTGTTCTCTGTATATTTGTCTGTTGCTTTGTTCCTTCTGTTCTCCTTGAGTTTCTCTTTCCTTCTTCATTTCACTGTATTTTAATCTCCATTTTGTTTCTCCTTTTCTTCCTTTATTCAATTGCTCTTTGTGATGTAAACATTTCGTACAACTGATTTGAAACGATTTCCTTGTGGTAACTCCTTCAGCTCTTCTAAGCTGCATTAATCGATTCTGAGCTGGTGGTGCAAGTTTTTCCAAAAGGAATTTGACAAAGTTTCTGTATCTACCAACCCAAAGGTCAGTGTCTTGCAGAACCAAAGTGTTTGCATGGCCGCCAATGTATCCCATGTCTATACTTAGTAATTGGTTCCAACTTCAGTAGTTGTGCATGTGTAGGTTTACTTACACGTGTCAGTCTTCAGCAGGCTGTTGGTGCTCCTAAAATACTGAGGGTTTTCTATCACTGGGATCTTGGTCATGCCGATGATGACAGCATCAGGGCCCATCTCTGAGGAAGAGGGAGTGTTGCTGCCGTTGGAGACATGATGAAGAGGAGAAGCTGAGTCGTCATCATTGCTGATCACTGAAGACGGTCCTGAGGAAGCGAAAATAAATCACACTGTCAGACTGAAAAATGAAACCAGCTCATAGTGTTAGAGCTGCGTTGGGTTGGAGGCTTTGCTACTCACACAGATTGAGGTCGACAGCTGAAGATTGATACTAAAAATTTAGCATTTCCTGAAAGATCCAGCCAGCCAGCCAGCCAGCCAGCCAGCCAGCCAGCCAGCCAGCCAGCCAGCATTTCTCCTTTAACCACTATCACATTGTTGCAAATATTTCTAATAGATTTACAGAACATATTTTACATTCAAGAGGTCTGATCAATGCTATGTAAACTTCTAAAACCTGCTTCCCGATGGTTCAGATCAGTCTAGGTAAATGTTTCTCTGATTTTGAATGCAGTTATGGCTCATATCAATCCTGTTTTTTCAGGTTCTGTTCATAATTTGAGTTGGAAATAACAGTTCACTGTACAAATTGTTAAAAAAAATATATCTTTTTACATCTTGGATGAAACAATGTGGCCACTCCCCTCTTTGCACAAACTCACACGACGCTTCAGATTGCTCTCTCTGCTCCACAGCTCACTTCAACCAACCACTTCGACCAGCCCATTTTCACTTTGCTGGTCAAGTAAACCTTTTTTTTTTTTTTTTCTAACTCCTGACATTTCAAAGTGATCTTCATGTCATTCACTCTAACATGGATCTCTGGACAATTAGAAGAGAAACAGGCCAATGACGTTAGAAATCCTTCAGTGTACTCAACAGTGGGCATGAAGTGCTTGTCCACACATTTAGCATTTGTTTTAGTGTTTGTTGAAAAAAAGCTCAAACTTAGCCTCATCTGACCCAAGCACACAGTCCCATTTAAAGTCTCAGTAGAGGTTTGCAATATGATATTGTTTACCTTTGTATGACAGAAAAATCTTCTTTCTCACATAACTCCTAACAAACAGTTTGCATAGATGTGGTTTAATTGTTGTTACGGAGGCAGAATGAGTGCGAGGAGGGTCTCTATGTGTGCTTGACAAAAATCTTCTTTACCATCCAGCTTCCTGTGTGTGACGGCAAAATAAATAATGTTCTTGTTCAGCCCAGTGGCTAAAACAAGAAGTTTTCTATTTTTTTTTTTTTTTGTTTAAAATACCACTTCACCTCAAGGTTTTTTTTTTTATATATATACCTGCTTTAGCAGTGTTTATAATAAATGGTTAATATTGGCCATACGAAGCCAAGCTGAGCAAATACTTAAATATTTCATTATCAGCTGTTACATTTAAACCTACAAAAATGTAGACTCTGCAACATTGATGTTTTTTTGTTTTTTTTTTTAACGAAAATTATCTCATTGCAAATATGGGCCAAAAAGACCTTTCACTGTAAATGAAAATGAATGCATCTAGTTATGCAAATTGTTCTGAAAAAAATGCAAAAAGCAAAAACATTAAGTGACGAAGAAAATATGAAAGGTGGGATGGCATGAGTCAGACACCGAGCCCAAACCTGTTAGAGGAAAATGGTTTGTTTAGGCAGCACAACGGAGGCTGATATTAGCTTTTAATTAAGGAAATGAATACAGTGTCTGAAGTTTGTCAGCGACTGTAAACCCTTGTGACACCGCTGCTAATTTTCTGCAAATATAAGAGCCGGAAAAAGCAAACTCAATCCCTTTCTTGCAGCAGACTGCATCATTAAGGCGTAGTTACATTTTGCAGATGCATCGATTCTCAATTTCAGGCTTGTTTCCACCACCTTTAACTCCTGGAAAGCCACTTAAAAATCCTCTATCTGGTTGTGTAGTTTTGTCCACTGAAACAATACAAGTTACACTAATGTGTTCGTGCACCAGTTTTACACAGACAATAAAATGTGGATCTACAGTGAAAATCCCCCAATGCCCTCCAGTAAAACAGTGAAGTGGCTGCTCGCTTCATTGTGAGTGAAGAGGAGAAATGTATCTGTAAGAGTTCGGAACGCCAATAAAAGTTTGCGCTTTTTCACTGTGTTAATCATCCACAATTTAAACAGAACTGTAACAACTCCTACACCTAAACACTCCTATGTTTATTTATTTTAGAAACCATATAGAGATTCCACAGCCACCTTTCCAGTGGCATCACTAATGATTGATGTAAAACGAGCATTAATGATCTTTAACATTCTTGCGTAAAGCTGTGTAAATACATTAACTAAACACTGCTTTTCAGAGTCTGTCCCTTCGGTAAACCAATAAAAAAAACGAGTGAGTGAGTCTGCTTCATGCTTCCAGTTCTGTACTGTTGTCCAACTCTTGTGAGCAGGGGGTGGGGGAGACGGTCCAAATGGTCTTAAACATTTTGCAACTCGCTGTATAATGAAAAATACACACAAACATAACGGAAGTGAGCTCAGTGCCGTATAGACGTCTACAAGACAGAAAACCTCAAGAACAGAAAAGGTGTCCAGTGACTTCAGATCTATTTCCCAGAACATGAAGCGCAGGAGATGTTTTCCCTCTCATGTGCAGTCGGCTCCGCTGTATCATAATAATACTTCACATTGTTCATTTCCTCTGTCCCTGGCCTCATATCAGGCTCTAGTGCTGTTGACAGGGCTGGATTTAGAGAGTGGAGCTGAGAAATTGTGTTTGTGTGTGAATCTAAAGCACCGTGTGTGTGTGTGTGTGTGTGTGTATACGCGTGTGTGTGTTGGTGACTCATGAGGGGAGAGACGAGGCCTTGAGAGAAAGAGAGACAAAGAATGAAAGCAAGAGCACAATAGTTTGTTTTTCTGTGTAGGGAGGTTTCAAGCATGTGTGTGCTGTTAACGTGTGTGTTGGCTGTGAAGTCTGGCACCATCACCTGAGTCCAACACCAAGATTTGTAATTTGACCTCCTATTTGCTTGTGTTATTTAAAAGTATCGTTTAAACAGATAATTCTGGGGCCTCACGTCTTCGACAAAAGTACAAAAACGGTTTGAAAACATTTTCTGCACATCTGAAGCATCCGTGTCTTTGGAAAAAACTTAAATAGAATCAACAACGTTATAATGCACAACAATTTTATTGCAGCGTGACTTTGCAAAGTTAAACTATTTTAATGCCTATTGCACAATTTTACATCGACATAAATCGGTGTCCTAGACTAAAAAGGTTCTCAGGAAAGGTTTGTCATGAGTTGTAGATCAACCAATCAGAGACAAACTTTGGTTAAAGTTGGAGTCACTTCTGGCTAGGTAGCCGGTAAAAACTACTTTTTGAAGTAAGAACTCTTAAATTAGCTCATTACAATCAGAATTTGCTTTGAAAAGATCAAAAGGGAGCCTGGAGAAGAGCAGTTTTTGTAGGTGAAAGGTCAAATCCGAGGAACTTGAAATGTTCAGGTTCTCTAAAAGCCTCAGAGACGTAACAGACGCTGAACTAGAAAATTTTTAAAGAGATGATCCATCTTAACCAGTAACAGAAATGCTTTTTCATTTTTCTGGAGAAAGATACCCGTCTGTAAAAGCTTTGAACAACTTTCATATGATTTGTGGAAATGCTAAAAAGCCAGAATGTTTAATTTGCAACAGATACGAGGAAGAGTAGTTTCACCAGAATATTAGTTTCCCAAACGCCACTAAAACAACAAAATGTGAAAAATTCATCTTGTCACAATTCCTACAAATGTTCTCACTGGGGAACGTTAATAACTCTAAATCCATCTCAACATGAGGAAGAAAACAACATGATGGAGACAGGAGTGCAGGTTATTGTCTGTCAGCTTGTGCGTGTGTTTGTGCTGGGAGGGGCTGCAGATCATTACCACAGAGAGGTCCCAGGGTCAGATCGTTATAAATACCGTTAAGCTCAGAGCTGACAGGAGCCTGTGTGCATCTGGAGACAGAGAGAGGTGGCCCAGCCTCCTCTGGGAGTTACGGTGTAAAAAGGGGGATGAAAAGATGCGAAGAAGAGAGGCAGGGAGAGACGGTAAGCAGACACAAAGGCATAAGAGGGGTCAGGTCGTGACCCTACACCGTTAATAGACATGGAACTGGTGTTTAAACTGGTGGAGAGTGGAGGCCTGCGCAGCTGTCAATAAACTACGATGCGTTCAAAATGCAGGCCACAGCTCAGATGTGGGTGGCAGGGAAATGAGCTCTGAAGCTGCCAGAGGCTTTATGTCATTGTTTTCAGATCAGCGAGTGGAGTAAAAACAGGTAAAAGCTCTGCTTTGTAGAATGACTGATGTATATTCAAAGGGATGCTTGAGAGATTGTGGTTTTAAAAAGTGATCCTTCAACCTCTCCCAATAATAACACTTGAAAACAGTGGTGAAACATCATTTATGAGCCTTTGCCCTTCTAAAAAGGGACCAGAAAAAGTCCCATTCAAAGATTAATCTGGCGGTAGACAGGGCAGATTCATGAGCAAACAGATGGAGCCTCAGTAACACTTAGTTGGTTTAAACCTGAGTTTGACTGCAGACAGCCTCCTGTGGAAGAAGACAAAGGGAATAAAGATGCTAAAGAATGAATCACTATAAATGTTTTCACCTGCTGGTAAGATATCAGTTTGTACATCTGTCACAAAGATGTTGGTCAATGAAGAAATGGGGCATCACCTAACATTTTTATAAACATTTTCATTTCAACAAGAGGATAGCGTGTGACATGGGGTGCTAACTCGTGAAAGCAGCTTTACAGGTTCATGTAAATATGTGTGTTTCTAAAGATCCCCACATAGCTGGGCATAATGTGGAAACTCATATTGTGAGCCACACAGACTCAGTGCATACTGTCCACGTAGTTCGGTCTTCATACTCGAGCGTACCGATTGCCTAAAATTCTCTCATGACAAACTCCTTTATTTCCTACAATCCTAATGGGTGCTAGCAGGTTTGATGAGGTAATTGGGTGCGTAGCCCTGTTTTTTTCTCCATCAGGGAATCCTCAACACACCTGTCACCTCGTGACAGTAAGTGGAAGTCACGCTGCGTGCTCTTGCGTCTGGGTGCGCTGGCTCTTAACCTTATCAGCTCGGTGTCACAGGTAGAACAATTCGATGCAAATAT